CCAGCACTCCCCCCAATGCCGACATGGCGAAAAGGTCTACTACTGTTAGACCTGTGCAAAGGTTGAGACTCTCCATTTCTTTCATCGCTTAAAGTTAATCGTGATTGATCTGCACTCTTACAACTCATTCTGTCTTTCTCAAGAATAAGGGTTTGCTCAAGGCTTCAAATGCTGTTTCACCAAGAGAAACGGAGCCTATCGGCAGAAGGAAGCCCAGGCCATGTGCTAGGAGAGCAAAGAAGACAATGCCCAGCGTCTTCCCCAACTGGGAGCAAGAACCGCCAAAAACATCAATCGGAGGCTGCTCTGAGCATTTCTGAACATCCTTTAAAAGCAAGAACCAAAACCGGTTCTGCTAAGTTCTGTCAAACAATCATGGCATGAAAGCATCAAATTGAGAGAAAACACTCCAAGGAACCATCAGCATAATCTCGCAGCACTGAGTTGCGCACGATAAGGGCAATGAAAGTGGCAATGGTCAGGGTACCAACTCCATCAACTTTCACCTATTGTGCACTCAGAATGTTTGGTGTTCGGAATGTGAATAACTACATAAATATACATGTGAGCGGTGTTTTGAAAACGTTAATGTGGCAAAGAAAACACTGAGGACAAAACACCAGCATTGGCCACGCCGAAAAAAGAACATACCAAAATCCTGCAAAATGTGTTTCAATATGTTTCAATGAAAACTGAAGTTGGAACAGGTGCCTTACTAGTAGTAACAGGTGCCTTACTAGTAGTAACAAGAAGCTATTAGAAACAAGTGCCACGCTAGTAGTAACAGGTGCCTTACTAGTAGTAACAAGAAGCTATTAGAAACAAGTGCCACGCTAGTAGTAACGGTGCCTTACTAGTAGTAACAATAAGAATTTAATTAGAATTCTAGGACTTCCATCTCATTCTCATGCACAGAGCGCACAGAGCGGTCTCGCGCAGCGTCTTCTCAGGTGAGCTAATTACATGCACAACGGCAGGTTCAAAGTCTGGTCCATAGGAAACAAGGTGAGCCACCCAAGCAGCGGCATCCCCGAAGTCTTTGACCGGTGATTGAACCTGTTTGGCCAACCAAAGGACTTCTATCATTGAAAGACAAACAAACAAAACACAATATAAGACACTCATTTTTCATCAAGCTTGTTTAATCACAACATCACAGCAACGTATACATCAATTCACCTCATGCATTTCTACCATAGTTTATCATCAAAGTTATCAACACTCAAGCCACTGGCAACCTCATTCATGTGTAGTTATCAACTATGCCTAGAAATGTCTCATTTCTGAAGTAAATTTGGTAAAGTGTTGTTCTATTTCTATTTTCTTCAGTAGAGTGTTGTTCTATTTTCTTAATATTTCAATTACCAATTATCAATACACTTTCCCAGAAAATAGAAGCTTTAATTTATCATACTTTTCTTAATCATAACATTCTAGTATACACTATCATTAGGTTTATTTCAACCGATCAATTATGCCCATCCCGAATGTGGTCTTTGACATATTTAACATCCTGTCCGACATGCACCAGTAAATGGTCATCATCATAAAGCAATGCAATCACATACAGTTGTAGCAAGCGTGATATCACCCCTTTTATGCTATAAGAAGTTCTGTTATGACAAAGTATCCATTTTCATCCATTTGTAACTGCGTAGGACCGCGTAGGATTTTGATTTAGCATTTTCTAGTTGGACAGATATGATATGATGTACACTGTCATGAGCATTTGGTTATTTTTGAGAGACTTTCTTCAGAACCTTGTTGAATGTTGGTCTTTGTTTTCACAGCAATCCAAGAGTTTGTCAATTTTTCACCTTCAGTGCTTCGGAACTGTCGGCAAAAAGTATATTTTTTCACCTAATGTTCTATTTATTTATTTATTTGTTGTTTGTTTTTTGTTTTTAATCTAAAAGTGTTTCAACCTCATGCGCTCCGGAATTCATACCTTTCTCAATTCTGTAATCTTCATGACAAACATAGGTGATATACCTTAAGTTAAGTTTGTTCTGCAAGAATTACACTCAAAGATTTAACACCACCAGAATATATATAATATATATATATATGAGAAACGTATGACATATTTTTGATCAATGACTTAGCAGAACGACTGAAAAAGGGTAGAACAAATCCAAAACAAAAGCTCATTGACAATCAACTGTTCAGATATAAGAGTTACATAAACTTATCAAACATGTTACAGAACAAATGACATCAGCAAGAACACAAGAGAATGTCGAGGCTATGCCAGCAGCAAATTGTCACTAAACATATGTTTGAAAATAACGCTGACCAAATATGCAATCAAGAGTAGATTCAGGGCTGAAAAGGGCACGACCGCTGTAAACAGTTTGAACAAAGTCAATAAACATTTTCAAGGCGGGCAAGGTCAAGTCATTCGGAGTAATCGCTATTGGTAACAAGGGCATCGCTACTAGTAACAAGCAGCTACTAGTAGCTCCTGGCCTTACTCCTAGTAACAAGAAACTACTAGTAGCTCCTGGCCTTACTACTAGTAACAAGAAGCTACTAGTAGTTCCTGGCCTTACTCCTAGCAACAAGAAACTACTAGTAGCTCCTGGCCTTACTACTAGTATCAAGAAGCTACTAGTAGTTCCTGGCCTTACTCCTAGTAACAAGAAACTACTAGTAGCTCCTGGCCTTACTACTAGTAACAAGAAGCTACTAGTAGTTCCTGGCCTTACTCCTAGCAACAAGAAACTACTAGTAGCTCCTGGCCTTGCTACTAGTAACAAGAAGCTACTAGTAGCTCCTACTACTAGTAACAAGAAGCTACGAGTAGCTCCTGGCCTTACTACT